CGGCGACCTCTCGCGTCCGGCTCTGGTTCAGACCATGGTACGGAGCGAGGGGGACTGGGATGCCGTCTCCTCCTTCTGCGAAGCAGTCATGCTAGCTAAGGAGGAGGCGGAGCGCGTGAGGGAACGAACCTCCTCACGACCCGGCCGTCGCGAGAGACACTCCGGGCGTCGGGGATCGCGAGACGATCTCCGGCCACCGTAAGCACGGGCCTGCGGACGGCGAGCATGGGTGACTCGCCGCCCGACCAGAACCAGGCCCGAGCGTACGGCGCGTCGCGTTCCGCGCGCGCCTCAAGGAGCCATCAGACCACCACAGATGGGGCCTAACAAGGCTGATGCCGATACGGAGCCGCGGAAGACTTAACGGGTTGCCGGGGCTCCGGCTCGAAGTGCAGGAGTAGGAACGGGGTGGTTTTTAGTCAGTAAGAGTCTGACACTCCCTCCCGCCTCACCCAGGCGGGAGAAGTCATTGGATGATTTTCCCCCCTCAAAAAAAAAAAAAAAGGCCACAACTGTGCGCTTCTCACGTAGCTTTCTGCCTCGCACAGCAAAACTGTGGAATGATCTGTCGTCAGCGGTATTTCCGAAACGATACGACCTTCAAACCTTCAAGAAAAGAGCGTATTCCTTTTTAAAAGGCCGGCAACGCACCTGTAACTCCTCTGGTGTTGCGGGTGTCCATGGGCGGCGCTAATCACTTACCATTAGGTGATCCGTCTGCTCGATTGCCTCCTATTCCATAAAAAAATTGGGGTGGACAGAGATTATAGTGATTAGACTAAAAATGTTTTTATTGATGCTTGAAGCTTTTATCATTACCGAAGGACATGGATTTACTAAAAGAAATATTTACATGCGACTCATAAGATAAATAGTGAAAAGTGGGTGTTACATGGTACAATGCATTTAGTGCCAAAATGTGCACCTCTGTCTACCCCTTCGAGGAAAAAAGGCGTAATGTTAATGTTATGTTATTTTTTATTTTACAGTTGCTTTCAAAATGTTTTATTTGAGTACTGATTTATCTGCTTTAAAAAATGTTTTCCATACAAACATTGCATCATATTTTGTAGGCTTTTTATCCCTCTAGAACATCCTATGACTCATCACAAACACGGTCAGGGAGAGCCACTTAATTAAAGCGAAAACTCTTCAATTTCACCTTGCTTTTAAATAAACATAGGCATTTAGCAACTGAAGTCTATCAATTGACAGAATAAATGAGAATTATCAAGAGTACTTACTTATAACGCAACTTTATTCGGCAGCACATCGACCGACACCTATTTGCTAACCTCCTTCAATTTATTTTCAACCTTGCCACTACGATAATAACATCGATATTCCATTCTACTACTTTCTATGGTGCATATCAAAATACTTATATCCATAAAATGGATGTGACTTACAACATTCGTATTAAAGTATAATCAAGGTCGTGTATAGTTGAATGGATTCTTTAATATGTATCTAATATACTTGAAAACATCATCACGGTTAATGCAACAAGAGTCATGCTGAGGTGGATGTCTTTAGAGTCACTTCGTGGTTAGAAACACGAGCATTGAGATATTGAAATGAAAGGAGATTTCCTGTAAAAGTATTTCGTAGATTGGTCTGTTTTGTTGAAGACGGACCATAATTTTTGAATAGAACTTAGTTGTTGATTCATTTTATCAGTATAAAAATAGTAGCCTTTTTCTTTAAACATTCTGTTTCGTGGGTGCGTTTTTTGAATTGACTATTTATTTATTTATATATGCTTTATTGTACACATTAAAGTAGCTTAAATCAAACAATTCAATAGTTCATAATAATTATGCACTATACGCATCAAACCTAGCAACAAGATATTATGGATCAAACAAAGCGTTTTTATAAATCTAACATATCTTAGGCTTACATCTTGACCCGAGCGTATGTCGCGTCGCGTCTCAAGGACCCATCAGACCACCACAGACGGGGCCCAATAGGGCTGATGCCGACACGGAGCTGCAGAGAGCTTAACGGGTCCCCGGTTCGAAGTTCAAGAGTAGGAACGGGATGGTTTTTAGTCAGTAAGAATCTGACACTTTCTCTCGCCTCACCCAGGCCGGAGAAGTCATTGTATGATTTTTCCCTCTCAAAAAAAAGCCTTACACATCTTCAAGAACAGAAGTTATCACACAATTTTGGAATATACTAAGGATAAGCAACCATGGGCAAACAATTCAAAATACATATTGCCAAATATTATCTCTCATAGAATTACAGTTAAATCATCATTTATTTCATAACGAGTTTTAAGTCAATCATTAAATAATATCCTTGCGAAAATTCGCTAATGACGAATGAATTTGTGACAATGACGCCCACTGTGCGTTGTATTTGAATGCAAAATATTTAGTCCCCAGTCGGCAGCATTGATAGAGGATTGTGGCGAAATTAAAATTCAATTAATTGGAAAGCCCTAAGGCATTTCTTGATGAACATCTAATTATATAAATAACTAAGTACAGTCTAACGTAAAAACTAAGTACCTATGTGTGTTTCGATCGAGTATTAATTTGATTGTAACTATGATGTATGTATTATTGAAATTGTAATTACTGTTGGGACTACTTTTGTTGGGTCTATTTTTATGGGATAAGTCGGTACACGAGCAGACGGTTCTTCTGATGGTAAGCAATCGGGGTCGCCCATGAACACCTGGACTACCACAGGCATTACAAGTGCGTTACCACCATTTAGGAGATTAGGAATTTGAGGAATGATGACTTCTCCAATGATGATGATGACCTGGAAGTTAGTAAGGGAGATCTATGTTCAGCAGTCGAAGTGTTGTGACTGATATGATTTATGATAATAGTGATTGATAACAACATATTTATCTTGACTGCCTCGTTGGCCGAGTGGTAGCAAGTGCGACTGCCGGCTAAGAGGTCACGGGTTCGATTCCCGAGTCGGCCAAAGCATTACTATTTTTTTTTTAATCTCAGTAGTAGCACGCAGTCTGGAATGTGGCAATAGGCTCACCCCCTATTACATGGGACTCATAGCATAAATAGGAAAAGTGGGTCTTACATTGTACAGTGACAAGTGCCGCTATGTGCACCTCTGTCTACCCATTCGGGGATACCTATACGTATCTTTATATATCTTTTTGTCACTACTTTCAAGAGGTATAAAATTTATTATACAAAATTAAATAAAAACTTATCATTTATAACCTGACTGTACTCAAATAGATAAAATCTTACAAAATACTCATAGCTAGAAATAATAGAATGACCACAAGTCGACAGGTACAGCAACGTGTCAGAATTCAGCAGGTGGTTTTAATTAGGTGGTCTTGTTATATTTATGATGTGTGGTCTAAGTCATAAACTCAACGATAAAATAATTGCTTTATGCTAGATAAAAAAAAAACAAAAATTATTTGAATAGCGTACAGCTAAACACGAATAATTTTACTATCACCTGATAAGCAAGAAAGTGCTGGTGCTTAAGAGCTGGTCCACATTTAGGCGACTTTCTCAGCGCGACAGTCCCGGGACATAACATAACATCACGCCTTTTATTCCCGAAGGGGTAGGCAGAGGTACACAATATTATGCCACTGTACAACGTAACACCCACTTTTTACTATTTATGTTATGAGTTCCATGTAATATGGGATGAGCCTATTGCCATATACCGGGCACAATTCCAGACTCCGTGCTACTACTGTGATTTTTTTGAAAAACCCTGTAATACTTTGCCCGACCCGGGAATCGAACCCGAGACCCCTTGCCCAGCAGTCGAACTTGCGACCACTCCGCCAATGAGGCAGTCCCGCGACTGACGTCCAAATGTGAAAGGGCACTAAAACCTCTTTCGCTCATAACTTACACCAACGTCAAATGTCAGAGGTTGCATACTGAATACCCTACAATTAACAAACTTATACTAATCCTCATACATTTGGTAACATTAATAATATCACTTGCTGTAGACCATGTTCTTTTTAATACCACCATGGTAAGCGCAATAGGTTAAGCGGTTGCTAGGTTACGGCATCCATTATTGTTTGCGTAATTGTGAAGTAATCTGAAGTAACCTGTCAATTCGATGAGCGATTTTATTTTATTAAATCAGTTGCTTTTTGTTTTGTGTTTTGATTGATGTGGAGATTAGTGTGTTGACTGGGTTTTGGTTGAGTGATTGCAAATATTTGTTTACTAATTTTTTGTTTATTTATATGAATAGAACGGTACAAAAAACCAATTACACTACTCAATTAATATACAATTGAAAAAAGAATACGTTTAACCACTTAACCATTATTGAATACTATCGCTCATTCATCTCTTTAGCAAAGCTTCAAGCATTCCGACAAAAATAATCTTCTTTCACTCGAACATGACTGTCAACCTAGGAGTATTGTGTTCAGGCCTGCGGACGGCGAGCACGGGTGACTTGCCGCCCGACCAAGGACCCATCAGACCACCACAGATGGGGCCCAACAGGGCTGATGCCAATACGGAGCCGCGGAAGACTTAACGGGTTGCCGGGGCTTCGGCTCGAAGTGCAGGAGTAGGAACGGGGTGGTTTTTAGTCAGTAAGAGTCTGACACTCCCTCTCGCCTCACCCGGGCGGGAGAAGTCATTAGATGATTTTCCCCCTCAAAAAAAGGAGTATTGTGTTTCCTCCTCCTGAGACAACATTAATTGGAATTTTCGATTGTCAAATATTTTGATGGACTTTAAAATAATAATGGTGTAATGACGAGTGTAGGTGCATTCCATAAAAGTACCTCTTCGAAGTAAACAAGATAATAATATACCTTTTTTTTTTGTGAGGGTAGACACAGTGTTGACATTGTTTTTTGTGTGCTGTGATATTTATTTATTTTAAAATTGGCTAAAGGTGACATTTAATGTATTAAACTACATTAACTGTGTCATTGACCCCCTTTCCTTGCGGATAATCGTTATCAAGTCTCTCGCACCATCACTACATCATCCAAGTACCACACCATCATGGATAACAAACTTGCCGCTAACTTGGAGGTCATGCAGTCCTTTTTGACATCAAGAATGGCTGCCTATGAAGACAAACTGGAGAAGGTTTCGGCAGCAATGCCTGGTTCAGCTGATTTGGAGTCGTTGCACTTGGATTATATGGAGTTCAAGAAATTTGTGCTGCAGGCAGTGGCGAACTTCAAGTCACAGCTTGAGTTGCTGATGCTGGGTCACGACAAACATGAGACTGCGATGCGACGTAAGGTGTTGTTAGTCCATGGCGTCCCTGAGCACAAGAATGAGCAGCTGCGTGAGGTTGTTGTGGACGTGTTGTGCAACCGGATGGGCTTGACTGAGCTGCATAAGGGGAATATCCATGTTTGTCATAGACTGGGTTCCTCTAGCCGCAGTCCTAGACCGATTCTTGTGCGCTTCTACACGACCGAACACCGTCATCTCGTCTGGGATAATAAGAAGTCGCTGAAGGGCACTGGCATCACAATCTCCGAGTTTTTAACGCAACTGAGACACCGGTCCTTTATTGCAGCCCGCAAACATTTCGGCCAGACAAATTGCTGGACTGTGGAGGGCAGGATTGTTATCATCGCGCCGGATAAGTCCCGCCATAAGATTGAGTCCATGGCGCAACTGCAGGAGCTTGTTGTCAGATTTCCACCTGTTTCCTCTGGACCCGACATTCCCGTGGCAGTTGGTCCCGGCTCGCCTTCCTGCACGACTACTGATTTGGAGACCAAAATCCCAAGGAAGGCGCGTCGACGTAACAACAACTAAGTGCTACTTCATATACGAGGTTACACTTTTTTATTCATTCTTGTAGACCCTGGTGGTGGACTTTGTACCCATTGGCCTTATTAAATGTCAACAATTTTGAGATAATTTTATATTTAAGTTTTTATTTTGCCGGTATGTCACGATTTCGTTGATAAACATTGTGTTTACACCTACATTCACTTTCATTTTTCATTTCAAAACCAATCTGTCAAATGTCATCTGTGTCACTGTCGTTTAATGATGTTGCGTTTTGTTAATGCTACCTAAGTTTGTTAGTTTCTTTTTTAATTAGGTAATTTATTCTGTTTTAGATACTATTGTTACATTTTTCTTATTATTATGCTGTGTAAGTCCACTTTTACATTATTTTTCTTTTTTTTAGCAGGTGCTTATTTTCTTAATTTTTTCGTAACTTGTAATATTTTTTCTTCTACTCTTTTTATGCTAAATGTCTGCAAGTTGGGGGGTTGTTTATTTTATTTAATTTTTTTGTAATTAGCAGCCTTACAGCCTTTTATTTCTATTTTTGATATTTCTGTAATTTATTATTGATATAATATTACTATTAGTTTATTTATATTTTTGGCACTATAATGGACAATTTTGTTGACTTAAACGAAAGTTTTTTCTCATGCTCTTCCGAGTCTAGTTGTGCCAGTGCGGGTGGTGGGGCATCACAGTCATGCACTCTGCATGACTCGCTATCCTGCATTTTTTCGCCTTATCCCAAAAACTTAAATATCGCTCACATAAATGCCCAGAGTGTTCCTGGCCACTATTCCGATCTTCTGGCATCCTTTAGCAATGCTCACCTTGATATCCTGCTGATTTCCGAGTCATTCCTTAAGCCTTCTCTCCTTTCCACGCACTATGTCCTGCCGGGCTTCGTTATAATCCGCAATGACAGAACAGGCAAGGGCGGGGGCGGGGTCGCCATGTACGTCCGCTCCGACCTACCTTTCCGCGTGATTAGTGCGTCCCCGTCTACCTACTCGGAGTCGGCGGAGTATATGTTTGTAGAGATCACAATAAACATGAACAAAATTTTAGTTGCTGTCTTGTATAGTCCAAATCTCCATATCAACTATTTTGATGCTCTTGACATGCAGTTAAATAATTTGTGCCCTAATTATGACCATATTGTAATAATGGGGGACTTTAATACATGCCTTCTGAAGCAAAATTCACGTTCACATAAACTCCTATCTCTTCTCACCTCTTTTAATCTTAGTTTACTTCCTCTTTCACCCACTCATCATGCTCCTAACTCTTCGCCTTCCTTACTTGACCTGATGATCGTGTCCTCACCTGATCATGTTGATGATCATGGCCAGCTGACTGCTTCATTTTCTTACCATGATTTAATATATTTATCATACCGGATCCGCACTCCTAAACGAAAACCTCGCTTTGTCAATTTGCGCAGTTACAAGCGCCTGGATCTGGAGGCGTTGCAGCATGATGTCTCTCTCATTGACTGGAGTCTTGTGATTGATGCTGGGGACATTGATGTGAAGGTTGACACTTTTAACTCGATTATACACGATCTGTATGATAAACACGCACCGGTGCGTCGTGTGAGGATTAAACACGACCCAGCTCCGTGGGTTACTTCTGTAATTAAAGATGCCATGGGTCGTAGGGACAGGGCGAAACAAAAACTTAAGCGCAGACCTTCCGCTGAAAATCTAGCAAATTTCAAAATGCTGCGGAACAGATGCAGTCGTCTGTGTAGAGATGCTAGGAGGCGCTATTTTGAGGAGAACCTGGAGAAGCACAATTCAAGCGACGTTTGGAGGTTCTTGCGATCTGTGGGCATTGGTAAATCACCTGTTTCCGATGCCAACGACGTAGACCTTGCGGTTCTAAACGACCACTTCTCACTCTCCCCGGTATCACTCGACGGCTCCATTAAATCTGTCACCCTATCCAAACTTTCTAGTTTACCACTTCCTCCCTGTTCTCCGTTCGTCCTTAGCAGTGTCACTGATGATGACGTGAGAAAGTCCATGTTGGCGGTGAAGTCCTCAGCGGTGGGCAGTGATAAACTATGCTCTCGTATGTTTATCCCTATTCTCCATCTCCTCACTCCTATTCTTACCCACATCTTTAATTTCTCCTTATTTTCCTGTTCTTTCCCTACTGCCTGGAAAATGGCTCACGTTATTCCCCTGCCTAAAATAAACAAACCTTCTGTTCCCTCTCACTATAGACCTATTTCTATTCTCCCTTTTCTTTCCAAGGTCATGGAACATATTGTTCACAAACAACTAACGGCCTATTTATCCAGTAATAATCTCATTTCCTCCTTCCAGTCAGGTTTTCGTCCTGGTCACAGCACCGTCACAGCTTTGCTCAAAGTTACAGATGACATTCGCTGGGCCATGGATAATAAATCTCTCACTCTTCTTGTTCTGTTGGACTTCAGTTCCGCCTTCAATTCCGTAGATTTTGATGTCCTGTTGGGTATCCTTAAGTCCAACAATTTCTCCTCTTCTTCCTTATCCTGGATCAACTCCTATCTCCGGGGCCGCCGTCAGCGGGTTCGCCTAGAGGATACCTTTTCCGATTGGTGTGACCTCGCTGCTGGCGTGCCTCAGGGTGGTGTCCTTTCTCCAGTTCTTTTTTCCATTTTTATTAACACCGTTGCCATGGTTATCACTTCTAATTTCCACCTCTACGCAGACGACTTGCAGCTTTACCGTCATTTCAAGCTGTCAGAGGTCGACTCTGCAATTGAAGCCATGAACCGTGACCTGAGTGGGGTCGATGAGTGGGCCAAATCCTTTGGCCTGCAAATCAACCCCCTCAAGTCCAAGGCTATGATAATTGGGGGTAGGTTTTACCGCAACGCATTGAGCATCTCTGCCCTTGATCCTTTGATCCTAAATGGCAATGTTATCCCTTACACTGATGTTGCCAAGAATCTGGGCGTGTTTATTAACTCTAACCTTTCGTGGGGTGAACAGGTGAACGAGATCAGTCGTAAGGTTCATTTCTCTTTGCATTCGCTGAAGCGTCTCCAGTCTCTTCTACCTCTGAAAACGAGGATCAACCTTATGCAGTCTCTGATCCGTCCATTGATCGACTACGCTGATGCTTGCTATTTGGATGCCACGGAGGAGCTTCTAAATAAACTTGAGCGCTTGCAAAACGTCTGTATACGCTTTGCCTTTGGTTTAAAAAAGTACGATCATATCTCGGAATTTCGCAAAAGGCTCAAGTGGCTCCCAATCCGACTTCACAGGAACACTCGCATCTTATGTCTTCTTTTCAATATACTTTTTAATCCCGATTATCCCTCTTACCTTCGTGAACGTTTTTCCTTTGCCCGCCCTCCTGAGGCTCTTTCCCGATCTCATCTTAAATCTAATCTTTCTGTTGTCTCACACAATACTGATTTTTACACCTATTCCTTCACTGTTCATGCAGTGCGACTTTGGAATTCCCTACCACCTAATATCCGTGATTCTAAATCCATCCCAATCTTTAAAAGACTCGTAAGGGAGCACTACCTTTCCTCATCTTGTTCAAATTAGTGTCATATATATATATATTTGTATGTTTATTTGTAATATACTCTAATATGTGTATTATTTGATGTGTATCTATCATATGTATGTATAGGTTTATGTATTTTATTGTGATCTATTTATTTAATACATTTCATGTCATGTTACGCACAGTGTCTCTGTTTTTTCCGTTTTTCCTGTCGAAGGACTGCAGGAAGAGATTCCTTCGGGAATATGTAGTACCTATGTACCTCCAAAATATTTATATATGTGTTCTCCTGTGTACTGTCTGTGTGTTGTGCATAAACCGATAAATAAATAATAAATAAATAAATAATATAATGTCAGTACATATCTATATGTATACGTCATGAGCTTTTTCCAATCACCCATCCGATTATCGTTAAGGTATCATTTTCTAAGGAGCTGAAATCAGTTAACCTCTAACTATTTGCAATAAGGTCGAAAATTAAGGTCATAATACATATTTAAAAACATCCCTTTCACTGCCATCCTTTCTCCATGCACCTTCAATTATGATTGAACCATCACCAAATACCTTACAAATATCATTTAATTCCAAGGTTTAATAAAGTTTTCAACAGACGATCCGTGTTCCGGACCAACCTTATATCGGCATGTGCTCTATATCGTATCTAAAGTTCATCAAACTGACAAACAATAAAAAATACACCCTAACTTCATAGTATCATTGTCCAATTTGCGTTAGCTAATTCAGAGATGGGATTTTAGAATGTAGTGTGCAAAGGGTTTTGTGTCTTATTGCATGAGGACAGAGTTGGGTTTCAAGTAGTGAGAGGTTTTGTAAAAGGATTTTATCGTGGTAATTGTTAAACTGTTGAATGTGAGTGCCACTGTAGAGTGATTGTGAGGTGACATTTTTGATCGTAGGAAAGCTTGACAATTGGTATTCCTTGTAAAGAAATACAACTTCTGCCAACAACTTCATTCATATTATTTCGAATATCTTTTGGTAATGTTCAAATTTCACGACTACCAACTACAAATTTTCATCCAGATCTATTCAGCATATATTTTACATCAAACAGTAATTAACATCCATCATCATCGTCATCAAAAGCTAAAAGACGTCCACGTACTGGACAAAGGCCTCCCCCTTAGTCCTCTACGTCATACGACAACTCGCCACCCGCATCTACTGGCTCCCAGCAACTCTGGCGATGTCTTCGGTAACTGCAACTGGCGTCGACTAATGCTAAACATCCATACATCCTCATAAACATTAACATTTATTAGTTTGTTGAAGTTAATTCGATAGAATTTCATAAGTTTATCTTTAAACGTGACAGGAGAGTTGGAGATCACCGTCTAGAATAACATAACATAACATCACGCCTTTTATTCCCGAAGGGGTAGGCAGAAGTGCACATTACGGCACTTAATGCCACTATACAATGTAACATCCATTTTTCACTATTTACCTCTATGTTATGAGTCCCTTGTAAT